TGTGTGTGTGTGTGTGTGTGTGTGTCTGTGCATGTGTTCAGGTGTGTGTGTGTGTGTGTGTGTGTGTGTGTGTGTGTGTTTTCTACGCTTATGCTTGTGTGTGTGTGTGTGCGTTCTATGCGTATGCTTTTGTGCGAGTCTGTGAACGTGCATGTGTGCCTCATGTATGTGTCCATGCATATGCTTGTGTGTGTGTGCATGTGTGGGTATGCATGTGCTGGATGTGGGAGTGCAAATTTGCGCATTTATTATTTTCATTTCACTATTAAGTTAATTCCTTCCTTGTCAGTGGGAGCCACAAGAGAGGAGCATCCTCGCCTTTTTGTCATACGCTTTGGCATGATGATAAACGCCAAAATCTGCCAGCAGGGCCCTGCAAGCACCCAGACAGTTTCCTTGCTGCCAGCTGCAGTCCAAGGTGGTAATGGGAGCATGCTGTCGCCGAGCAGCCCCGTGTCACAATGCACCCCTGTTGCAACAGCAGTCGCCTCTCATGCTGTGCAAGCGCAGGGAGGTTTGAAACCCTCCTCATCCAAACTCCTTGCTACGCGTCATTTGTTTTCAGAGCAACAACCTCAGCGAAAGCGCCCAAGTCCTCCTCACCAAATTGCTCAGCAATGAGATAGTAAACATAGTGCGCATCTCATCTCTACGCAGCCGAGGCTCGGAGTAAAATAGAAAACCTGAAACCCGATACAAGCACCACGACGACATGCTTGGCCCCCCCCAATACCCACAGACCACCCACTGCCAAAAATGGCAGTCATGTCGGTTGCTTCATGTCCCCTGACAACCCACCTCCCACCCCGACCACCACCACGCAACCAACCTCCCTTCTCCTCCGCAGCTCCATCGTAAGAAAGCATGGGATGTGTAAACGCCTTGAAAGGGCTACATGCGTTGCTATGGTGACGGAGGTCCCCTCCTGCTATTACCAACACAGGCTCCACCAAGGCGCTTGGCGGTTCCCTGCTGCCCACCAATCCCCCGGTCACTCATTGTACAGAACAAGACGCGAAGAGAAATCAAACATACGGGATCACCATAGGTGGAGAAGTACTCGTATGGAGAACGTCTCTCACCCAGTCATGTCATCCGACGCAACTTAGTCGTTGGCAAGTACTAAGAAGCCGATAGAAATATACATGAGACAGACCGGATATAGTGCGAGCGCTTTTCGAGCAGGCGGAACAGCCGTGCTCATGAAGGGATAGGTCGCCCACGAGCTCCAGGCTAGAGTCACAAGAACCACCAGACTCCTCGCCCACTTGTTCGAGAACATGAGACACAGAAGGGCGGCGATGTCCACTGGAAATAGACAATAGCCGAGTACGCTCAGACTTTGAAAGAAGATGATCTTGCCTCCCTGTAGTGCACCACAGCAAAAAAACTCCAAAAAGAGTTAGCAGCGGGCAAAAAAAAAATCACAATATCAACGACATCTCCCCCTGAATAAGACCGTTCCAACAAGAACCGGTGACACCCAAAAAAAAAGCAGGCAGACTCGCTCACGGTTGTCGAGAAATGAAACAGAAAACAAAACACACAACGGCTTCAAAAATTCGAGGAAAAACGTTCTTTTTATGAAAAACTTCTTTGTCAAATTTTGAAGCCAAAGTTCCGAAGTTCCAAGCACACATTGGCTTCAAAATTTGAGAACGAAGTTTTTCAAAAAAACGGAAACTTTTCTGAAAACCGGAGAGGAACCTGAGTTCACAACTTGACGTCTAACAGGTTACAGCAAGCAGTAGACAGGATTTGAACTCTTGACCTGTGCGTCTGTCATCCATAAGCAGTTCTATCTTCTTCTAAGGGCGCAGTGCACTTCAGGTGTGTTAGGTCCATATTGGACTTACGAAACGAAAAACGAAACGAGTGCATCTTCCCGCAGAAAATGGCCAGGTTCATCCGTTTGCAATAACTAGTAACGAGTGTATCTTGCCACCTTCCTTGGGCAGATGCACTCGTTTCGTTTTCGTTTCGTGCGCCGTGGGGCGAGGCCCTAAGCTCCAAGTGTGAACCATTCAATCCTGAGCCGACCTCTGACAGGTTACAGAAATAGACAGCATTCGATCTCTTTACCTGTGTGTCATCCATTACCAGCAGTTCTTTTGCTGCTAACCACAATAGAACTGCTGCTAACTCAATTCCAGGTGCGAACCATTCAGCCACAAGGAAGGTGCGGCGACCACGATACCTATTCTGTGCACATTTCAGACCGTTTCAAGCCCAATTCGGTAGGAGGACATCAGGCCCGACCGCACCTTCTACCTACATGCAAATTCAAAGGCCTCCTCCGTGTTCATAGAATGGGTCATAGAATGGGTATGGTATCTCTACCCACAGTGCATGCAGGAGTCGGTTAAATGTATAACCGAATGTTGGTTATATTTGACAACGACAAAAGTTTGGCTGTACATGGCCGGGCTAAATCTAAATGTAACCTTGGTTACGCATGGAAATTGGCCGAAATGTAACCTTACCTTGGTTACATATGCAAATGGACCACACGTAACCTAATCTTCATAACATATGGAAATGGGCCAAATGTAACCTAACCTTGGTTACATATGGAAATGGGCCAAATGTAACCTAACCTTGGTTGCATAAGGAAATGAGCCAAATGCAACCTTTTTTTTTTTTTTTCCAAATGTAACCTAACCTTGGTTACATATGGAAATTGGCCAAACGCAACCCAACTTTGGTTACATGTGGAAATGGGCCACACATAACCTAGTCCTTCATTACATATGGAAATGGGCCAAATGTAACCTACCATTGGTTACAGACCAAAATGGGCCAAATGTAACCTAACCTTAGTTACACATGGAAGTGGGCCAAATGTAACCTAAGCTTGGTTACATATGGAAATGGGCCAAATGTAACCCAGTCTCTGCAAGGACCACAGGTTAATACACGCGTCCCACTCCATGACGGAGCGGAACACCGGTTCGGTTTTCAAGAACAGGACGCAAGGAACCCAGGTGCTGCGAACCACGTCGGGTCCTTGTTAGCGTTTGAATGAACCTGTTCTTGAAAACTGAACCTGTGTTCTCCCCACGACGGGTTAAATCCGCCACCCCTGCTAGCATTTTCATCGACCAGGAGTAGCGGATTTAACACTTAACATTTATCACCAGGGTGGCGGCCTGGTGTGGGCCACCTACTGGGTGTGGTTTAACCGACCTACCCATCCGAAGGCGTCCCTCATTTAGCATCAGTTTGAGCATCATGGGGACCTAGATTGTGGTAACCCTACTTTAAAATTGTAGCCTGTTCGTGTTGAGGGGTATCGGGGATATTTATCACCATAGGGGACATACAAATTTCCAGACCTCTTCTGGTAGATTTGGAAGCTGTTTTTGTAAGAAAAGACTTGAAAAAAAGGATACCCTTTGTCCTTCGGAGCATCAATTAAAATTTGAACAATACAGAGAAGATTAGCATGGCCCCGCCCCTGCACAGGGATGACACGCATAAACCGAGAAACGGTCCAATTTTTTTTAAAGGAAAAAAAAAAGAGAAAAAAAGATACCTCCTTCCATACAGGGATGACAAGCAAATGAAATACCGCACGTCCATGAAGCTGTTTTCTTTTTGTTCGAGCCCATAATTTTTCAACAGGGGTTCTCTAAATCTCTCTCGAAAATTGAGAGCTTGCCCGCTGAGGACCCAATTCTTTGAGAGTCCTGGCCGCCGCATCTTACTGACCGACTCGAAAACATTCAAGAGTTCGGAATCGAGAGTTGGCAGAGAGGCACCTCTCTCTCCACAAAGGCCCAATCAAGAGCGGTGGTGGCAGCGGTGGAGCAAGGGCCATACTAAACATTCCTAGCAGTCACTTTTCGGTACAAACCCCCTTCTTCCCCGGTACACAAAAGAAGGCTGCCAAATGCAAGGCGGAGAGATATCGAAGTAGCCAGCCGACTTGAACATCTCTCATAGGTTTATTAACCTACACACACGGTGGGGATCCTGGTATCTTAGGCATAGCGCGACCACACCAATCCATCCCGAACTTCGGAGGCAGCTCTACAGGAAAATCACTTGATGCCAGGATCACGTCTTCCTTCCCCCCCTCCCCCCCCTCTTCCCCCCTTCCCCCGTCCTTCATTTCAGGTTGCCACTAGCAACACTTGGGAGCTACTAACACAAATCTTTCTGGCAGCTTATCAGGAAAACAAGGGGAGTTGAAAGAGAGCCAAGGGGGGGCGGGGGGGGGGGGAAGAGAAGGCAGGGAGAAGACAGCGGAACGGGGAGAAAGGCGGAGGGAGGAAGGAGGGAGGGGCTGATGGAGTATGTTTTTGCCTAAACAAACCACATTCTTTTGTTTTGTTTTGGCCTAAACAAACCACATTCTTTGTTTCTGATTGGAAAACGTAACGTACGTCATGTTATATGAGTTCCATGAGTTTCTTTAGAACCCACCACTCCTGCGGAAGACGAACTAAATCGTCAATTGATCATGATTAGATAAGAGTCGAATGTAAACCAAGAAATCACATTGCTTGCGAAGCCAGGAGCAAGTTCTCACCGTGAACGCCCCTCTTTTTATATAAAAAAAAAAGAAAAGACGCCCCAGCCTCATATTTCAGGGTGATGTGAAGACCAAGGACATTGGGTAACGCTAGGGCAGGGGGTAAGGCATGAACAAAGGGAGGGGAAGGGAGGGGAGGGGAGGGGAGGGTGCCAGGAGGATTGGAGGCTTTACCAATAACAGAACGTTGAGCGTCAGAATAAGCGCACCGGCTGACAAAACCGCAAAGACAACTGCAAAGACTTGAGCCTGCACAGCAGATCAAGGGAAGGGTCATGAAGAACATAACAAATAAAATATCAAATTTAAGTAGTAACTAATAATTAACAATTACCAAAATAGAAAATGGGGTAAACAGTGCCAGCATGTCGCAAAAAGCCCCCATCCAAATCAAAAAGCAACATGATGCTGGCGCAGGGAACTCCCACAGTACAAGGAAAGAGGACAGAAAATGTGGAGAGCAGAAACAGGAGAGAAGAGAGGAAAAGGCAGAGGAGAGAGGAAGAAGAAAGAGGAAAGAGGAGCGAAGGGACGAGAGAGGAGAGCAGAGGAGAGGAGAGGAGCGGAGAGGAGAGGAGAGGAGACAGGAAAAATGAAGGGACAGTACACAACGGTGAGAATTATAAGACGAGAAAAGGTGAGAAAAAGGTGGGAAGAGACAGCAGGGAAAATAGGACAAGAGAAACTAAAGGTCCATTTGGGCAGCAGGAAGAAAAACTCAAAAGAAAAAGAAGACAAGGAGAAGAAGTCTCTCTCTCTCTCTCTCTCTCTCTCCCCCTCTCTCTCTGTGTGTCTTTGTGTGTGTGTGTGTGTATGTATGCGCCAGGGAACCCGTAGCTACATCATCAACCAACGGTATGGCCTACCGCTCATCGGGGACCCCGTTGGTTAATGATGACTACATCACAATCAACACTGGTTCACATCACCTAGTCAGCTTAATGAACGACAAGGTTTCTTAATGATGATTACATCATCATCATAATGATGATTACATCATCATCAACACTGGTTCACATCAACTAGTCAGCTGATTGGATTGAATTGGCCATCATTAGCTGAAAGAGCTTACCATAAAAATGGATGAGATTGAGATGGAGCCGTCTACTACACAGAAAGAAATCAGCGTTATGGGGAGAATCGCCACGTGG